TTCTATTTTGACTATGGAAATAAAGCTAAAGCTATAAAAGACCGAGACTAAATTAAGAGAAGAATTTACTATTTTCCCGGCATCGTGAGAGATGCGAGAACATTTTCAAATTCCTCTCTGTCTTTAGAGCGCAGTAAAAGGTGATGTAAACTATTGTAGCGTATTTTCTACAGACAGCTATTGTGACGTTTTTGTATTTCTTAAACACAACACGTACGATGTTTCCAGACAACTCCACCTGGGCTGTATTTACTGCTTCATTCCGTTACTTTGAAAGAACTCCGTGCTCAAAGTACTATTGACTGTGTAATTGGTACCTACTATGTATCTATAATTTTGATTACTTGCTCTTCAAGCGCATAATATTTTAACTTTAGTAACACGTCGTCAGTTTCCGTTATTATAGTAAGAAACTGCTTTCTATATACTATCATAGTTTGTTTCAGAAACTAAAAAGCTGTATATTATGTATATGTATATCTATACTCGCATACAAAGATGAAGAGTGGGTTTGTATGTTTGAACGCGCAAATCTTAACTACGGTTTCGAATTAAAAAAAACTTTTTGTGTTGGTATAGATAAGGCCCGGTGACGAATAACTTCGCTTGTGAAAAAAATTGGGAAAATTATTCATCGTTGTGGTTTTCCGAGGCGTACGCTGCATTACAAGATTCCCAAAAATATATGTATGAAATAATGATTCCTTTTTAAATGATCAAAATAAGTTCGTGACGCTACATGTCTTTTAAGATTAACTTGCAAGAACCACGGGAAGGGACAACGAAACGGCTTAAGTTTATAAAAATGAAGGGGTTTGCAAAAAGTCGCTGACACAGCTCGTATTCTAATAGACTCTTAAATTATGTTGGCTTATATGCTTATATAATCGGATAGATAAAGAACTATGATTTTCATTACGAGTTCATCGCGAACGCATCTTTTTATTCAGTACACACTCCTAAAAAGCTTCCTATTAAGCAACGGTACTCGCAGCAGTCACGACGTTACTAATCTCTCCAGACAGAGCCCTTCGTAACAGCCCTGTCATATGTGTCTGAGAGCTCTGTTTAGTGTGAAAGTCCTTCGCGTGCAGTAATTTAGCGAATGAAATGTTAAAAATTACTTTTTTTCATACGAATGATGGCGAACTCCTATTTTGCCGTCCAAACTGTTGTGTATACATAAGTTTCTGTATTATCGTTAAAAGCTCTATTTTGTGTAAATTTAGAATGTTTAGAGTAGAAAAAACGGCCTTGTATCTACCCATAAAACGTAATTATCGAATTACAGTGCTATGTTAAAACATGTCGTTAGGTGTTTTTAGTACTTTTGCATTCACGCTAAATGCCAATTAGGTTAAAGGCAAATTCTACGAAAAATACGTTTGACTAGCGAACGTACGAACAAAAACAAGAAATAGCCTTTTAACCTAAGACATATCGACTAATTATTGAAAATGCCATGATAACCAAGAATTTCTCGTAATTATTATGCACTGCATCAGTTCCCCTGAATCGACGAGAATTAATATTTGCAATTGGGAACTTCTAAAGCTAGCTCAGCTTTCATTTAAATTAGTTTAGGAACTTTCAATTGAATATAAAATGTAGCAAATAATTTGACTTAACGCAACGGGTTTCACTAATGGAAAACTATTATATGACTACTTCATATTAAATATAAAATCGAGGCAAATTTTAAACATAATTATTAGTTACATGAATAGTAAATGTACATTTTGTCTTGTTTTTAACCGTAATGACGCACACTTATGGGAACACCTTGTGACCTAAATAAATGAACGATTTGTAGAAATGAAACCATTTCGTAGAAAAAGGACACAGGTATTTCAGTTTATCACAAAAGTAAATATACTTAGCAGTTAGTTTAGCATACACTGTCGTAGTTAAGACATTAACGCGTTCGGTTTGCTCTACATCGCTGCGAGTACAATGTTTATCATAGTAATTTTCTATTTTTTTTTCTGAATGTTACCTGTATTTATATATACATGCAGTGAGATCAGTAGACTTACAATACGTACATCGAAGCACCGAACGCTACAAACGACAAAGAAACAGCGCATTAATGCAAAGCGATTCTCACCCGATGTAAATTAGCAAGTGCGTGGGACTAAAGAGTCATTACGAACGCTGAAGAGGTACGTTTATGCCGTATTTAATTTTTAATTTCAGCGTCGGCGTGTTCGGAGCCTGTTTTATCGCAGTTTTACACTGCAGACCGTTTAACTGCGATTTTAATAATTGTTGTTCAACTTTGACAATGTTTACTTTGCTTATAAATAGTGTAACACCAAATTATTCTAAATTAATGTTATAAACAAATGATAGCTGATAGGCTAAGTTCGTTGTTGCTCCTCAATTAAAGAACGGAATTCCCACAGTTGAAGCTGTTAATCTATTTCATCTCGGCAAATCCACGTCTATATTTAGAAGGGCGCCCCCTTTGACGAGTGAACGGACGGAATGACGTCATTGTTTTCGCTGTCTCCCATTACAATGGAAGCGTGACAGTTTTCATTTCCGCACCTAGCTTTAGCCTCACGCTGGTTCGTTCCCGTCACTCGTGTAGGCCTTAATATGTCCGATACTTATTGACGTCACCACGGTTCGCTGCTTATTTAACATGCAGTTTATTTAAAATATCACAAAAGGAGGAGGAAATCCGAGAGTTGAAAATATCAGTTCAAAGTTCAGAGGTTAAACTAGACAGGTGATAAATGTGTTATATACTGTATATACGCGGTTTATATCACAATTCTCCCTTCACATAATCCAACGAGAGCTTTTCAGCAGAATGTGAATTAGCGAAGATGTAAATTACTCGTCGCGAAGCCTCCCTATATCGGGCGGGCATTCATTAAGTGGATCTTCTCAAGAGAAATTTAAATTATCTAACGACATGATTAAGTTAAGTCTATTACTCGCCTTGTCTGCCTCCCACCTGGGCCATGGGCTCACTGCGAGATCTTTTATCGATCATCTCACTTTCGTAAGATCTATTTTATTATAGAGACGGTAAGATACTCGATTAAAGCATCTTAGTCGACTTCAAACGTTAATGCAACAGTGAGTCTTCAGTGCAGGGTACAAGGAAGTAATTATCGTGTCGGAAGTGGGACAGAGAGGGATGTTAAATGGGCCATCGTATAGACAAATGAGTTAGGTGCGTTATTAGTTAAAAGCACTCCCGTGAAGTGGTTCGGTAGAGGTCGTGTGATCTTACAATTTTTCATTATAGTTCCGACTCGGCTGCTCTAAATCATTCAAATAGATTCAACTGAACGAAGTTGGAGGGATTTTTGGATGGAAAATAAATTTCAAGGTATGTCTGGATATCAATTTCGAAAACATACATTTACAAAAGCCGTACACCGATTTATATTTTAGCTTTCGCGATAGCTTTTAATTTTATCAAATTTAATTTCAGTCGCAGATTACACTATTTAGGCCAGCTCAGTCGAGAAATACTCGAAATTGATTTGGAACGATTAACGATTGGCCAAAATTTCTATTAATCTACCTCTCGATAAGAATATCAACACAATATGTGTCAAGTTATAAATAAAACACTACCGTAAATATACTAATAACTCACGCCCGAGGCTATACTTATTGGCACCAGCATATTGTTTTAAATATGAAAGGTCACGTCATTTGTTTCTCATTTGCGTAAATATTCCTTAGCGTGGGTTTGTGCTCTGGAAAGTTAGGTAGGTAGTCAGGTAGGTTGTGGTCTACAGTTTCCTCCTGATGGAGGAGTATATATATATTTAACTAAACTTTACTTGTATACTTGGTAATAAATGACCGTTGGAAAAACGATTTACTTAAACGACCAACTTAAGAAGCATATTTTCACGCTAAGCTACTTAAGATTTGCTAAAGCAACAGGCTTTATCTTCTAATTGAATTTGTTTTAAACGGAGTATATAATTGCTCGCTCTCCTGTGTTTAGCTTAAACAGAAGTTAATTAGTTCCCGGAGACCGGAACAGATGCGCCGTTTCACTCACAATCTATAAGGCTAGACTTCGTACAGGAACTCGTAAATTAAACGTGTTTTAATTAAAAATATTTCGTATGAAAAAACGGCTCTTTGAGAACGAGTTTTACTTATTAAAGAGTTTCATTACTCTAACTTGGCGACTGAAGACACTTTTTGAGGAAAAGTAATTACTATTTTTTTATTCAACTAGCTATCAATGAGGGAATTTTCTTAAATATCGTCGTTGTATAATAGATGTGTGAGTGAGTGTGCAAATAAATCCTGGAAAATATATAGGACATTTTACATGATTTATTTGCAGTCATATACGTAGTACTCTCAGGAAGGGACACTTAATGTTGAGCAGAAATGTAGAAAATTTTGATTAAGCTCCGATTTAAGCTGTGTAAAGTTTTACCCAGCGTAAATGCACCATTAGAATATGTTAACTCTATATTCTCAGCGTGTAAACTTCGGTGGAGCTTCAACAATAACATGAGCCACGAATAGTTTACTTCTACGTAAATTAACTACGGAACTATTTTATTCGAAAGTAAATTGTATTTTACTGATTTTCATATTTCATATTTCCAGCCAAGAGCCAATAAACGACATAAGAGTTGCTTTGCTACGCAATGTTTTTGCTTAAGCAAAAATAAACCCCACATTGTCTTCACGCTCTGAAGCGACCGCTCGGGTTTCACAAAAAGAAATAAGAATCTGAGGCAAACTGTCCCAAAAGAGGCCGAGAGCCAGATAATGTATCGACGCTTCATTGAATACAACGTCAGATCGTAGGACAAACAGCGATCGCATTACGGGGGACTGATGTTGTTCCGTAGATGTTTTATATCTTTACTTATGTTGCCGTTCACCATACTCAGCCGGTTGGTATAAGTATACGATAATTTTGTTGCAGATATGATCTAAAAGACCGAGAGAGAATGAAGAGTTAATGTGATGCGGTTCCGGTAAGGAGATATCAAGAGGCGATGGTGCCTTATTACCACATTTGGCTGCTTTTTCCAGTTCTATTCGTCGCATTCCATACAGGTAACGCTTTTTAGAGTAAACGCCACAAATTTATTTATTCTGCAAAAGTTTATAGAAACACTCGCGTTGTTGAAGCACGTATTATGTACATTTGTCATCGAAACAATATAACATATCTATCTAACACGAGTGCAGACGCGAGTTTCGAGTCGTGAAAAGCTAGTAAATAATGAAATTTAATTATGCATATTGGGCTCCGCGCAGGCCGTGTAAAATTTTATTCATTCCATTCGATATTGTTCGGTAAATAGTCGGTGTTTCAAATTGAACGGCTTCTCCGCGCACAATTATCAGAATCTGACCACAATACTGCTATCGTCGATTCAATGGCAATAATCATCATTATCGTGAAGCCACGTATCGCAAAATACTTCAAATTACAAAAATAATCTCAAGTCTTCAATTCACATTCACTAATACGAATGTTAAACGGTAAGATACATTCCTTCCGCAACAGATTTTAGCACGCCACTGTTTGATAGGAAATTGGGTTGACTAACATTTATATCTCTAGGGAGATATATATTAAATTTTTCCACACTACCTTGCTGGATCCGTGTTTTAACTCTTTAATATGCAGTATTAGCGAGTAGCAGTCACGAGGACGAGACTCTTATTTGAAGGTTTTAGAAAAATACGAGTCCAAAACATATTGACTTTGCACGTTTGGCCTATATTTTATACAGCTATACACAAATAAGAGCTATATATCAATACATCGCTTCTATAATAGTTTCCGCAGTGGTACATAATTTCGAGCGATTTCAATTCGATTTGTGCTCTCATTAAAGTTTAATGTTAGACGGTAATGGATCCGTTCAATTTCGCCGCCGTTAAATATAATTGAGAGTTAAGCGCGAAAGCTTTCAGTAAAAGACCGGCTAATTTCGAGGCAGATAAGTAAACAATCGAACCGGAGTAACGCCGCCTCGCGGGTGGATCTCGGGACTTGTCACTAGCACGAGGTTCCACTCGAGTGTGGAACATATCGCGGCCTAATCGAGCTCACAAAACTACTCCGCTCTAATTTATTGTCGATTATTCTCCGACGCAGAGGCCAGCTATGAGAGTGAAATACCAATATATAAAGCTGAAGAGTTTGTTTGTTTGAACGCGCTGATCTCAGGAACTACTGGTTCGAATTGAATAATTATTTTGTGTTGGTTAGAGCATTTATCGAGTGTGACTAATAGAAGCGAAGATAAAGCGGGAAACGTCGAAAAAACGGGAAAAAATATTCATTCTTGTGGATTTCCTTTGCGTACTCTGCGAAAACGGTTCAAGATATCCAAAAAATATGTATAAAAAGAATAATGCCTCTTTAAATGATCCAAAAAATGTCCGCGACAGTAGATGTCTATCTTGTAAGATTAATTTGCAAGAACGACGAGACGCGGACGACACAACGGACGACGACGAGACGCGGACGACGTCGAGGGTAACAACATACATTTATAGTATATATTTATATTTCCTGGTCAACTACCAGGAAAAACAAAAATATTCTACGCATTCGAAGTCGCTGATTCACCAAGTTATTTATAATATATCAGCTATTCTGAATTCAATATTAGAGATTTTGTATTTAACAGCCTACTGATCACATTATCCTGCGACATACCTATTCCTTTATTTCCACGTGCCTTAGACGACAGAGGAAAGACAGGTGTAGGAAGAAATAGTTACCGATAAGCTAATTCTGTCTGAGTCAACGTAACGTCAAGACCCAAATAGCTTACACAATATTGCTTTCGCGCAAATTGAAAGAAAATGTAGGACGCAGAAGAAATTGATATTCATAGGAAATAATGTTATTGAGTTGCGGAATTGCTTTTATACGATTTCCCTCGTGATTCCAGAAGGCTATAATTTAACTCTTTTTTATTGTTCTTTAAGAAGATGCGACGAAACGGTGGCGTTATTTCTGTGACTACCCCTTTACTCAATTAAAACAATAATCATTACGATCTATTGTTTTTTTTAATTTAGAATTCTATTTTCAAACTCGAATTCATAGAATTGGTATTCTAAGTGGGTAAACTTTAACCAGTTTAAATTCTTCGCAAAAACATTTCAATTTATCATATTTCTTTTAGATAATAAATTAATGATGATCATCTAATTAGCAATAAAACTCTCGACCAATTTTTCTACATTCATTAGTATAATACATCTCAAACAAACGTTTCGTTTGTATAAAATGAGGCATTGTCTCTGCTCTCTTTGTATTTTAGGAAATGAACGGCTTCTCTTTCTTTCTTCCTATTTTTGTGTTGTTATATGTTCCATTAAATTATTTTGGAAATAAAACGCCTACGGTTACGAAAATTGTTTTCCACGACTTTATATAAAATATTTTAAACGGTAGTTGAAGTCACGCATTTTGTAAAAAAACTCCTCTGAAGCATCATATTGTAATGAAAATACGGCATGTACATACACGCAGCTCTATCGCAAACGAACCAGTAAGACAATTTTCCTCTCCTTGTGTTCGCGGGCTAGGGATTCATAAAACCCCGACCACAATGGAGACATTGAACGCGGTCTCGAGGGCTTTAAATTAAATTGATAAACACAAAAGTCGTCGTTCCACGAACAGCCAATTTCATGTCAATTTTACCTTAGAGATTATTTTAATTTTACCTCAGGGACCTTTATCTAAAAGGCAAAACATCTTTTAAAGCTTTTTTCGATTTTCAAAAATACGTAGTATTTCTGTTTACTTTTCCATTTTAAAACATAACAAAAACGTCGAACAAACCTCGACGAATTCGGAATACAATTATAATAAAACATGTAAAACCACTGAATAAAATATTTATATAAAAATTCGCGAGGGGCAACATTGAAAAGCGAAAATTTCAATAAAACCTGCTATGTGTACCGGCTGCTGCTAAATCGGAGCAAAACGAAAAGCAAACGGTTATTTCGCGGATAAATATCGATCACTATTCAAAGCTATTGGCGTGAATATTTCAATTTATGTTGGCTTTTTGTAATTACTTATCTTCTTGCACACTCCATTCTCCCCACAGTATGCATTGAGAAGTATGCTATCAATTACATCAAGTACATCGCTAGTTAAATAAAATAAATGTAAATTTTAAATTTAATCGGGCCTCACCCGGTACTGAAAAATTTATCTAAAGGAAAATCTGAAATTCTCAATGACAGACTAGCATGGGGTAAGCTGTATAGACAGTTGACCCCATAAAATCTGAATTTAAAATAGGTTCAAAATCCAAGAATAGGTCAACGGCGCATTGTAAATTCGAAATGAAACATGCTAAATTGACCTCCTTAATTTACTTATGAACAAAAGAAAAATTTGACTCAAAACCTGTGTTCAATCGAGTCAAGGCGTTGACACAAATAGTGCGTTAAAACAATTTCTATGAAAGAAATATAGATCGACAAGAATTGAAAATAATGCAATGATAATTTTAAACCCAAATGACATCTGGCACGGCTATTTGAGCGATACTTTAAAGGCCGGTGAAGAATTCAACGTTTGGATTACAAATTATTATATATAATAGCAACATTAAGTTTAAATTCAAAGGTTGAAATTCCAACGGAACGACAAAGAATTGTTACAATTCCGAGTTTCATATTTCATAATATTTAAGCGACCAACCGCGACAAAGTAGTCGCACTTATTTTGAACATTATTCACTCGTCCGGCACAAAATAGTGACGCTGCCGGCAATTTCTGGAGGGAAGTTGTACAACACTCTGCAAAAAGTTTTGAGAAGCACCGCAATGCAATGATGCTCCGTAAATAGTTCTCAGATATTCAATTGAGTTTATATGATGTCCAACTTTGAGTTTTATTGAAGTTTCATTACATTTCAACAGTTCCAGATGTAATTTTACTCGTTTTTGTTATTTAATTAGCCAATAAAAATACCTTACTTTTTGACTTGAAATTTTACTACATATTTAGATATACTGATATATAAAGCTGAAGAGTTTGTTTATTTAAACGCGCTAATCTCAGCAACTGAACAATTATTTTTGTGTTGGTTAGAGCGGTTATCGGAAAAAGCTAAAGGCTATAAAACATCACGCAGTAACTAATAGGAGCGAAGAAAATCGGGAAAAAGGTAAAAAACGGGGAAAATATACACGTTTGTGGGTTTCCGATGCGTCCCCTGCGAATGGTTCGAGATACCCAAAAGATATATATTAAAAATTGTTTCTTTTTAAATGATCTAAAAAAATGTTTAGCTTAAATTTATAAAGATGAAAAAAACTGTTCTACGCGGACGAAGTCGCTGACACAGCTAATTGATAATATCGCACCCCTAGATGAAAACATCACTAACTCAAAAAATACTTAAATTGAGTTAGTGGCGTTTTCAAAATCCCGCCATGAATACCTACACGGAGTTCAAACTCCGGTAACTCTAACTTCGACCGTTGAAAAAAAAATTCGAAAAAAATTAAAAACAATTTCCGCCGAAAATTTCATATTACCTAAAGAAAACACAACTAACTAAAAAAATGAGTTTTTTTTAAACTTTTGTGACAATAGCATTAAAAAGGCTCTAGAACTTTACGTATCATAATAATTATTAGTATACTCGATATCTTTAGTAAATATTCCGAAAACAGTTTTTAGTCATTTCTGAAAAAAAGGTTTTTTTTTTAATTGCCGGAGTTTTCATCTAGGGGTGCGATATAATTTCACATAGTTTGCTTCTATATCGTATTCTACACACGTAATAAACCCCCCTTCGACTTAATCTTCCTGATTCAGAAGCCTTAAGAACTTGAACTAGTTAAAAATTCCCGCAACATACTTAATGAGTTTCCAAAGTTTTGGATCAACACTAGGCTTCACAGGCGCGGTCTAAATTACTTTTTCTTCTAAAATATAAATTACTCCTCCTGAGTAAAATACATCTAAGTTAATTACTAACGTTATCTTTGCTACTCTCTTGTTTTACGTTCAATCACATCAGGGAGCTGTCAAGCTACAGACGTGGACGTGAAGCTCGTAGCTCCCAGCTGGGTCGCTCGAGGCAGTTCCGCCACTCTGAGATGCTTACACCAAGTGCCCCCGCAACTGCTCTACAAAGTGGAGTTCTTACGTTCGGGGGCCAAGATATTGCAGTATGTACGGGAGAGAGTACCGCCTTACACTAATTACACCTTCCAGGGCGGAAAGGTCAATGTGAGTATAATTTTAGTGTCTACAATCATTTTGCACATACCTGAGAAAAATTAAAGACATCATAATCGAAAGAATTATTTGTGTGTTGTGAATTGTATAACTGTTTAAATTTTGTTTGATTTTATTGGAATGGGGATCTTGAAATTTGAATCCTAAGTAATGTTATAAAAAAATATACTTTTTTCTTTTCGGGCTCGAGATTTGCAATATATTATATAGCGAACATTTTGACAAAAACAGTTGTAGTGTCAAAGGTATGTCCCGAATTCTAAGTAGAATACGAAACAGTATATTTTTATAGTTGCCGATTGAAACATTGACTTCGGTTATAGGGCATAGTATAAATTCGTCGTTGCTCAGTACGACATTGCGACTCGGAGACCTTTACAACCAAATTAAACATAAGTGACCATTATGTAGATTGTTATTGCAATCCGGAACCGACACTTGTCCCTGGATGGAGTTCTTCCTATTGATAGCCGAGTGTGGGTGTCGATCTTGAACACATCCATGGATATTGAACGTGAACCCTTTCCCGAGTATGTCATTATCATTGCGATCCGTATTTACGTAAGTGTTTAGGCCAAGAATCAATTCACGGGCTATACGGTTAGTTTTCGAAACGACCTCTACTTTTATCGTGCCTTTGACATATATATAGACAAAGCTTGTTTATATTTTTATAGAGCTTTTAAAATGCCCGTTTCCACCGCGACCGTAGCTAAATTTTAGAAATACCACATTTAGCTTGCTTAATTTAGGGCGAGTGGCCTGACGTAACAGAAACGTCTTAGACACGACACCTACGTAGGACAAACGACTTTAATGTAGAAACAATTAAACTATCTGCTTTTAGATGTCCCTCGTAACCGAAAACTCAATAACGTTAGAAAATCTGGACCCGACGGCTTCCGGGTTGTATTGGTGTGAAGTTTCGTTGGAGACTCCGATCTTTACTGCAGCTTCGCCACCTCATCAACTGACCGTCGTGTGTAAGTAGGCAAATGCAATATTTGAAAGATATTAAGTGTCAATACGTTTATTGCTGCAGTTCGGTAAAATACATGTCGATCATTTCGTCTCTGCATAGATTCTCAGAAACATCCCCCCATTATAACTTTCGGCAAACCGGATGTGGTGGTCGGAGGGTTGCTTCGTGCCAACTGCACCAGCGCCCCAGCAGCGCCCGCACCGAAACTCATGTGGTACATCGACAACGAAAAGGTAAATATTAATTCCACAATAGTAATAATAAAAAGTTGAAATTATCAAACGAAAATCCATTTCTTTCAGAACTAATTTTTTACAGTATGAATTGTTTATGAACTATTGACATGAATAGAAGTAATTTTAGTTACACAACGCAACAGTTACGAAAATAATATTAAAGGAGTCCTTTAACAACGCAACAGTGTCTAAACAATGATTTTTGAAATTTTCGTCTGTTTGTGTATATGTGCACGCTTATCTCAGAAAGGGCTCTTCTGACCTAGAAGTTGCCTTTTCTGAGATAATTATATAAGTGTTCCGTTCATGTGAATCGGTTTGTCAAGAATTGTAGAAATAAATAAAGGAGGATATAGTGCACCGAGAGCTTGATTTTCTTTTCTTTGTGTATTAGATGTGAACATATAATTTTGTTTGGTACAGTAGAGCGTCGATTATCCGAAGAAATTCGGCGACGTGGGTGTTCGGAAAACCGGTATTTTCGGATAATTGAACTACCTATCTGAATATTGATTCAGACATACATATTTACGTATTACTATAATGACAAATATGAAATAAACAAAAATAGTGCAGTTATGTAATCTTATAGTAAAACATGTGTTAAAAATCTTGAATTTTCGTCTGCCCAAGCATCTTACCCGCTTACGAGCGGCTAGATCACGTACTTTTTTAAGAACAGATATTTGATACTGGTCGCTTTCAGCCTGTTTTCAAACCAACGCAAGGCAATATCTAAGCCAGTAAATGCTTTAGAAGTCACTACGTTTTCATCTTCATTATCTGACCTTGTAGTCGATGTGATGCTAGCGGTGGGGTCGGCCTCATCAGTCAGAGGTCCAAAATTTCGCTATCCTGCATAATTTGGTACCCGGGATCTTCGTCGTCGATATCCAGCCATTGATGAACCTTTTCTTCATCACATTCGTGGCAATCGAGATTTGTTAAGCAACGTTCGGATAATCGACGCTGCACTGTATTTATAGTGTTTGTGAAAACAATTATTTGGGGATGATTTCTTAACAAGTTAGTTAACACGTACGTAGTATGCATACAAGGCAGTTGAGTGACCCCGCTATTGGGCTGGCTACATACGTTTGAAATTAGTTGTCAACTTAGTTTATACGACATGAAAGGTTGCATTGATTTGACATTGGCTGTATACTCTCGATAACAGTGATGAGATCTCTCTTCGATATATTCAATTTTGTTGCGTTAAACCTCCAATCGACGTGGACTTAGGCGCAGGCACACCTAGTAAATACTATGTAATGCATAAAATTCGTAAATGTCAATTTAAATTCAGATTTTACATTTGCCACGGCTTTTGTAATTTACGATGTTTTCTAGAAACCTTCGCTGATCATCGGCACTTTCAAAAAGTGATATATGCTTTTAATATACCCACCATCTATGTTAGGAAATATATAGCAACGGATATAGTTATGTTATATGGTGTTTGTTTGCCATATCCATTTAAGGTAAAAAGTTGCCCAGTCTGTTAACATTTTTTAACGTTTGAAAACTGTAATAGTTTTCACATGATGGCAATATATAATTTAAACATTAACAAATAAGTTGAAAAAATTCGACGATGCGGTGTAGGACTTGGTAGTTCAATTGGTAGAGCAACAGCATGAAATGCTGGCGATGTTAATAAAATCAATTTATTTTCGATCTTAAAACATTTTTTAATACAATCTAACCCAATACTGAAAGCCCTCTTTTGACATGATCGCCAGTGACTGCTAACTTAAAATATACAACGTTTATTATGTATGTACAACTTTGAAATTTCCAGCACAATATCAAATTTCCATTAGTGTCTTGAAATTTGAAGCCCGTTTAGCACTGAATTTATGGTAATTACTCACATCCCGTTATAAACTAAAATTGTACGTTATTTGGCTACGAAGAGGTAAATTTTGTGTTTTGAATTATTCTCGTAACGAAACAAACTGAAGCTAAACCAATATTTACGACCTTACGCGTTATATATGAAATAAGCAAATGCTCCTGACATCTCAATAACAATGCAACACGTGCAGGTTCCCGAAGATTCCATAAAATATTTCTCGTACCGCGTGTCGAGTTCCACTCGAACGAAAGGCGGGAACCACCGACACCGGAAGTACCAACACCGATATATAGCACCAGAGTTCAACTACACAGCTAAGTATTGGGCGCTCGTCAGCGAAACGACCCCCGCCCCCGCCAACCTCACTAAACATAGCAAGTGTACGCTGAAAGACGGCCAGGAGGGAGTCGCAAAGGTTAGCTTTTTAAACTAAAAAATGTTTCGATTGGCGCGGTTGATTCACGAAATTGGAATCAAAATATAATTGTAGGGCACTTATAAGCCGTAAAACAGAGAGATAGAACAAAAGAACCGAAAAGTAACAGCAAAATATTTTAAGAGCATAACTAAATCCTAGTTCCTGTACTGTAATCGTCTGAAACAGATTGAAAAGCCCCGGGAACTGGCTCCGCCACCCATATCTTTGTGGGTTTCCATCGCCGAGCTTCGGACTCCTGCGCACGGTAGACTACAGCTCACGTGCACTGCCACCATCCCTGAAGAAGTGGGGCCGGGCGAACGCTTCGCCGATGTCAAGAAACAAACCGTGACGGGTAATTACAATTTTCAACCTCAGTCCATGTTCCGACGAGTTTTTGAAGTCGAGTTGCAAAAGAATGTAAGGGTTTATTTGTACTTATATTATAAAGCTGAAGTGTGTGTTCTAACGCTCTTATCTCAGAAACTACTGGTTCAAATTTGAAACGTTAACAACTTAATTGAAAAATACTTTTTGTTTCGGTTAGAGCATTTATCGAGGAACGCTACGCTATCGCTGTCACAGCTAGTAACGTATGAACCGATAAAAAATTACTACAAAGTATCCTCTTTGTGGTGGATACAATGTCGAAAGACTAAGGTATCAAAAGTTCAACTAACTTAAAACGACCTATTGTCTTTTACGAGACAGGTTTTGGTGTCAGTAACTATTGCTTCTATCTTGTTAGCTCAATAGGACGGAACTGATATTTTGTCGGTTTATATTGTTCACGTTATCCATGATGCTTTAAAAAAATCTTTTCGTACTGTAACGTCGTAAAATAAATAGAGCAATGAAATAAAATCTGCGTCAAAACTTTGTTGGCAAGCCGCTTTCAAAACTTCCAAGTATGGAAATTCCTTTTAAACAATATTGCGGCGAAGCGAAGTTGTGTGAAAAGTTCAGCGACTAACAAAAAGATAGCAGACACTGAATCTCTAATGTTTTTCGACAGTCGCGGTGAACGAGCTCACGTTGAAGAAGCCCCGGACGGAAACGAACGTCGCGAACGGCACGGCCGCGGCACCGCGCTTGGGCCCGCTCTGGCTCTTGGGCTGCGGCCTCCTCTTCCGAGAGCTTACGACGCCCCTAATGTGATCCAAAACTGCATCTCTTCATAGATTTAGTGTAGCTCATTGTTCTTATCGATGTATTTTTGTAAAGTTACGTTCGACTCACTTGCAAGGTATAAGGTTGTCCTTGTATTATTTGCCCGATCGCAGTCCATTTGTGAATTACATTTGATACAAATTATTTTCAAAATAGAGACATGAGAAAACATATTTATAGGATTAAGAAAATATCCCTACTTCTGTGAGCTTCCTTCGAGTCAATTATGGTTTTCATTTGACAGGGTTTCTTCGTTACATTTAAATTGTGTTTCGTCGGCTGGAGTCATATTCACTATAATGATATATATTTTTGTAAGATGATATGATCTCCCGAATACGTGAACAAACAATTCGTCAGAGGAACAGTAACAGCTTTATTTTGTAAGTGGATTTAAGGATAATTTTAGATTTTCTATTAAGTTGTTGATCTCACCGCGACAAGAACTAATTTAAAGACTGCGCAGTTATTATATATGTATACTATATTTAATGACTTATTACTTTAGTAATTACCGACAGCACGAAACGCAAACTTAATAGTCTTATATGAAAATACTATGTTGTTAAAAACAGTTTTCTTTGAGATTGACATATCTTATATTTATCTGTACTTGAGCTTAATGTAAACCATCTCGTATTTATGAGTTTATGTTTAAAGTTTTGTGTCTATACGTGTTGACATTTTTATTACTAAAGAATATAGTCATATTGTTATATATATATTTATGTGTCTACCTTATCGGAGTCTAAATTTGTGTTACCAAATGAACATTTCTCGTATCACTATCGAAGCAACTTTGCCCAAAGGGACCCCCTGATTTTATATACGCGTATCTATGTATTGTGCTTCGATATTAAACTATTTCATAAGAGAGGTTATCGAAGTTCGTTTTAGTATTATGCTGTGAGAATTATAATGAAATTATACAGATATAATGAATTAGACGTAATATAGTGTACGCCACTACGGGTTTGAATTTTTATGATGCATCAAAGTAATTCTGTATTTTTGCCTTCCTTGCATGTGTTTGAGATGTATCCTAAGAGCCTTGTATTATAAATATTCAAACCTCGTAGCAATGTGGCGTTGAATGTCTTCCTGCAGCTCTTTACACTGACTACTGTAGAAAGTTTATTCGTTGCTGGCTGATTCATACTACGACCGGCGTGAACCACGCATCAAATTATATATATAACCGATTGCATTGCGGCTTCGTTCATTCGAGTAGAGGACCACTGGAAGTCCGAAAGGCCACCGTATGAATCAGCTTTTAGGATAGGTTAGGACTTTGGCAATCCAGATTAAATGTATCTAGGCAAACGCTCGCTCCTCGGTCGAATGGAGAATCGCGCGGAAGATCTCTCACAGATTAAAAATATAGCAAAGTTGCCAAAAGTCTAACATTTGCTAAAACATGTGATAAGATAAATTGTGGTTAAGCGAAATATATTTTGAACTAGATCAGTTACCGTACAGAAATTATATGAATGTGTTGATATAGAACTAGAAATAAGAATGTATATTGAAATCTGATCGAGAAGCCAATAATTGCGTCGCAAATGAGTCGACGATGGTTTTCCTAAATTTTATTCAGAGTTCGTAATTACGATCGCCGTTTTCGCGTTTTCATCGGAAACTATATTATCCAGTACAGTACAGATATAGAATTTAGTCCCATTGTTGTGAGGAAATAATTATTGGCTTCATGAGAAAATTATTTTTTTTAACCTCTGGCCATTTTAAATTATCACAGTGGTACAAAAATAAAGCTTATAAAAGCAATTAATCGTTTTATTTCTATAAACGTATCTTCGTAAGTCTTGTAGTTGATAATACACATGGAAATAACCTAAGAACTTTAACTAAATTATACACGAAACGATAAGACCTCCCGTAGATGATCCCCGAAAGCTGGCTATAAAGGAAACCTAACTCGCGGAAATGGCCCCGATTATAGACATCTCGTAAAACATCTGAGAGGTGCAGAGGAAAAGAAAATATAATTCGATTCATGATTTGACACGAACATTCCATATATTGACAAAATTCATAGAATTATAAACAAAAGCTTTTTTGATTAGCTTAATCTGGTAGTTGAAGCCGGTCTATGTATTCTGAGCTTAGAGATGCATATACATACAGGCAAAATAATTTAATTGTGTGTCTATGTATTGCGGCTAATATATCTAAAAAACCTTGTCGTACTTAACAACCAAAAAAGGTAGACTAATAAGTAAGTATTGGACCAAAACAAAGAGTGTGTAAATTTACAGACACTCGTTAGCAGGAGGTAACAGATAGAACACACAATTCTAGCTATCGATCGCGAAGAATGAATAATTCAGTGCTTTCCAACGAATTGTTATCGTTGACAATTCGATGAGGCTTTTGAATTCATCATAACATTTTCATTGAAGGCTCTCATCATAATTTCAATGTACCCGAATACATAATAATAGGTTCGATTACAATTAAGGTTATTTAACTGCAGTGAGTGTCTAACAAACAACATAAATAGACACCTGACTACACTATACCGGGAACAGTTTAAAAGCCACAGTTCTCCGACCCTTAAAAAGTGAGGAGCCTCTAACAAGAACAGGTCGCACCGCCTCATGTATCGGGCTCGATAAAGAGCTTCCTCCGCAGGCTAATGTTCGAGATAGCGGGGCTTTGCGTCGCCATAAAACGAGATGCCTTCATATCGAATCCATTTACTCGTACGGAGAATGTTCCAAGTACGACACGACGAACTCTACTGTATACACATATATGTAAACTTAAATTGCACAAATATATCCGAAAACGAAAACGATAAAGGAACTCCCCACCTCTCTTTAGTTTAATTTTACAAGTCTTGCAAATTCTATCTAACTTAATTTAACCTTTGTGGATGCCAGTTCAAGTCCTACCCGTGTCGTAAAATTGTTCAATATAAAATCTTATTTAATTTATATAGTTTTCAAAAGACTAAAATTAAAAATGAACCGGGAAGTATATTTTTCTACCCTTTTAAAGTTTTGAAATCTTTCATTATTGGCCGAGCTTTGTACTTTTGGGCACATAAAATTAGAGTTGGCACATCGTACCGCCTCCGCCGATTTCAAGAATTTCACCATATCAATTTACTTTTCAATAGAAATGACACGCGTCGATGATAAATGATAACACGTCACTCGCATGTCGTAAGCCATTTTCGCCGCCTTTTGAAGGTTGAAGGCTGCTCAGTATCTCTGCGATACTAAGACATATTCGATCAGAACTTGTCTTTTTAATAATGCGCAACATTTGATTTATTTTCATCGACGTTCAATACACAATGTCGGTTTTTATTCTTTTTTTGTAAGATAATTTAACTGGTTTTTGCAACTTCGAGTAATATAGGCAAGTGAGCAACTTTTCACACCCTAACTCAACGTGGCAACGGTGTGGACGATCATTAGATATGTGCGCCGCTAAGTATAATTTGCTTAGCGCATTGTTTCCGTCAAAACGTCATCCTCAGCTGGCGAGCCGCTTCCGCTTGAGCTAAATCTCGAATGTAATTCTTCGCTAGACAATATTATAGTGAAGTGAAATGGAAATCGTGTTCGTTATTCCGAGCATATTTCCATCGGGAGCGTGTTCGCTTCCGCCCCTGATCCCGGAGGCGGGCTGCTGCAGAACACAGCTTGTGTTTTAACTGTCGTTTCACTTTTACATTTTTGTACTAGCATTCGAATCGTGTTACGTAGTTCTACGGTTGTGTATTATTGGCCCTAATAATTCTTCTGAGGCTATCGACGCATAGTTTGAGAGAAGATATTTATTAACTCTATTTTTTTTACAACTCAGTAATAGCAAGAAATATATTGTTTTATATATAATTTTGGTGTGCCTCAGGCTATTTTATATAAAACTCTAATTGGAGAGGGTTACAGTTTAAGATGTGACTTTACAATTTCTTTTTAAACGGAGTTTAACTTTTTGAACTATTAACTCCGCTAGCCTCCGCTATTGTTATACACATGCACTCCCTCAAATAGGATGGTTCGTTTCCCATAGTTGGTTCTAATTTTCAATTTCTGTAAAAATCAATAGCCACGGAAGTCAAACTAGGCCAATACGCTGCGGTGTTCCACAAGGCTCACTGTTAGGACCTCTTCTCTTTCTTATACATATAAATAGTATACGCGATCTCGGACTAACAGGTGATATAACTTTGTACGCTGATACCAGTCTTTTCTATTATGGACACTCAATAAAAAGTATTGTGAATCAGGCACAAGAAGATCTAAATTTGTTGAGAAAATCAACCTTTTAACAATAAATGCTTCAAAAACTAATTGCATAATTTTTTCCGCAAAAAATAAAAAATTGACAACTATAATCCACTAAAAATAAATGGTGAACAAATAAAAAAAGTAAATAATGAAATATACCTGGGTTTGACAAATAAGAAAAAAACAGTCTTCCCTAACAGGGGCCCTACGCCCAATAGTACGCAGTCTCCCACAAAAAATAAAATACACAATATATAACTAAATAAATTGTGTAAGGCTTTCACGGCCATCATTCAGCATATCATTTTCTTTTGGGCGGTTTTTCGCCCTGAAATCTAAAAAAACTACAGGTGACCCAAAATAAACTAATAAAAATACTTTTTAACTTTAAACATTTAACTGCCACAACTCAAATTTACAAAAAACACAAACTTAATGAACATTGCCCAAACACATAAATATTATACGTGCATACTTATTAGGAAAATATTAATAAACAACATACACTCCACTATAAACTTAACCCGCAACTTTAAACAATCTAAACGACAACCCGCCAGGCGAATAATATCATAACACAACAACCAAGAACTAATTATGGCAAAAAGTGTATTTTATACGGCGGTGTAAAGCTATATAATTAATTACCAGGCTATATAAAAGAATCAAAGTCCATGATAATTTTCGAAAAAAAAAACACTTAAAAACCATATTTCTAAGTCT